ATGGTAGAGATTGTCTATGATATCCATAACCATCAAGTGGTAAACAAGACTTTACTAAGGAATATACAATACAAGCTTCTTGAAGATTAACAATAAGAAGTCCATAGTGACTTTTTAGAATATTATAGTCCTAGGCAGAGCAGAGAAACTAACAAAAATATTATCATTATATAGTAAAATTGATGGACTTGACTAGGATAGATAGTTTAATAAGATTATATGAATTGCTCATGTAATCCAAAAATGTACTACTGATTTCTTAATAAAGATTTATCCTATCAGTTAGACTAGTTAAAAAAAAAAAAAAAAAAAAATATGAACTGGCACATATCTGATTTAAATCATATTGAGTTTGATCCAAATTTGATTTGAATCTATTCAGATTTGATCTGAATCTGATTTGAATTCAATAATTTTGTAAATTTAAAATTCGATTCAATCTAAATTTAATCAGATTAAAAATTTTAAAATTTAATTTGATCTGATTTATGTATATCTGATTTATAGATTAACTGGATTTGAATTAAAATTATGATCACTAATGTTAGCAACCCAAAATATAAACAAGTCTCTATTAATCACTTCATGTATCTGAATATATTTATTCAGTATTTATAAGAACTTAAGGTCTACTATAAGTTACAAGTCAGTTATATAGGTAGATATAAAACATGAAATCTATGACATTATTGGCTATACAGAAAGAATAAAGAAACCTGAACTAGGACTTATTGAATAATAAATAACAATTCTCTTTTACTTTTTTCCTTTTATAATAAATATAATCAGAGAAAAAAAACTATAAGATATAGGGTCCCTTAGAAGAGTTTTTGATTATTTGATACTAATATATTGGAAATGCAACTTCTTAATTTATTAAGCAATTGCTCTGATCTTTTCAAAATACTTTTTTAATAGCATTATGATATAAAAATTTTTAGTTATACTAGTGAAGTTAAGGTTTTACATAAGGAACATTTAATATTAGAGATGATAGATATTACAGATAAATTCTTGATATATTAACTACCACTCCTTATAAAATTTAAAAGTAGTAATAAGCCACTCGATAGATTATGTTTTGTTATGTCTCTAAGAAGTATTAGATATGATCTATAGATAATATAGTCAAAAAAATTTTTTTACTTAATATTATTCTTTGTTTTGTTTCAGTAAGTAAAATATCTATACTAAATAAATATATAATTATCTTATCTTGGTTGAATGAGATATAAATAATTTGCTCTTTATACTATTTGTTAATCTATAAATCCTTAGACAGTATGGATAATTATTTATCCTGATTGTTCCTAGGTATCTTCTTACTTTAATAAAATATGTTCATCTTGATACAAAGAATGAGCTAGCATTAAAAAAAAATTTTTTTATTTTTTAAATTTGATTTAAATTATTTAATTAAAACTTTATTTTATCTAATTTAAACTAGCTTAGTGAACTTCACATATTTTTTAAGTAATATAGGTCTTTAATTAATAGATAAAAAAAAAATATTTATTAAATTTTTCAATTACTATATACAGTATGCAGTATATTCCAGTCAACAACTTGTATATTTATTGGTTCGATCACGTGAAATTCCGAATCTTTCTTTCGCAGACCGACCAATAGAGTTTCCGGCCTAATATTTTAGGATCAAACATGAAAATTCCCTTTCTAGTAAAAATAATTTTCGAACGTAATATGAAAGTGACTTGAGCGAAACTCCTTAAAAAGTTGCCAAAATTCATTTCGCATTCAGTTGGCGATTTGTACAATCTTTTATTAAAATTGCATATAGTCTATATGTAACTTTTTGAAATCTTTTAAAAACCGCATACTCCTCATTTTTTGTTCCACCTGCTTATAAATTTCTTTCTGTCGAGGACCCCGATTTTGTAAGGAGCAAACTTTCTAAATATTGCAGTGAGGACGCGCTCAGAATTTCACCTGTTCGACGAGTTTTATAGTTTATATATGTTAAAAATCAGTATTAATAAAACGGGATTTTAAAAACAAAATAAGCTTAATTATTATAAGCACAAACAAATTCCTGCCAGAACAGTTTCGGTTCGTTTGTATACATCACGCTTACAGATTTTTAGTACATAGACTCACGTACTTGTATGATTTACAGGCATCAAAAAAAAAAAAAAAAAAAAAAAAAAAAAAAAGAACAATGGATGGACATAACAAAAGGCGTGCAGAACCGAATACGCCGTATTCGCAATCACCCGGACATAAATATAATAATATGGAGAGGAATGATTATGTTGGAATAACCATAGGCGATGATTTCTCGCAAAGGCAGTTACCCTCCATGCCGGCAATGGTAACATCATCCTCACCTTCACGTTCACACCACCAACAGCATCAATTAAATACGCAGAATCCTCATCGTCAGGATTTTCTCGATGGGCATAACAGAAGGCGTTCAATCAACTACATTCAAAGTTCATCAGGACATTATCCTTCTGTTCCTTCACCTCAAAATCAGAATCCATCGCAGCATCAACGTTCTTTGTCCGGTACACATCCGCAGTCTAATCCACAGCATTCACAGTCGCATCAACATCTGCCATCACTCCATTTATTACAGCAATCGCACAAGCAACCGTCGCTACCGCCACCAACAGCTATTCGTCAGCATCAACGTCCACATAATAATTCGAATCAACATCAACCACACCCAATACAATGTCAACTTGCACTTCCGATACAGAACACGTATCAGACCGCATATTCTAATTCTCAACCACCTTCTCCTTCCAATCATTTTCCCAATGTTCCCAATTCCAACAAACCTTCGCAACCTTCTTCACTTACGACGCGCGACCGCTCTTTAAAACCCGAGTCTTGTGGAACCGCTTTTAGACGCATCCGGTCAAAGTCGGATCTGAGGCCCCCGCCCGCACCCCGCAGAACAGATTCCGCCAAAGGAGCAATCAGTGTATGTGCGATTTTATTAGCTTGCAATATCTTATTATCTCAACAATTCATACCTGTTATCCTCGTTTTTATTACCGTGTCATGCATGGGGTAACCATAAACAATTGTGCTCGTTACTATCCACAAACGAACGCAGCCGCTAAAATCGTTGACCGTACATCTTACGTCAACGTATCACAAAATTAATCCCAAATTTCGATACGAACTTTCATGTAATCCTCGTCGTGTTTTGACGAAACCTTCAAAAGGTGTGAAAAACGATGGATACGATAACGAGGACAACGATTATATTCTTTACGTTAACGATATATTAGGAAGTGAAGAGGGGCAAAAGTGAGTTATAAAAATTTTGGCATCTCGTTCCGTCTCCAGTTAATCATTTTGAAATAACAAAGAATTCAACTGACAATGGTTTAATAATTCTTCAGATACCTCATACTAGATATTCTGGGACAGGGCACCTTTGGTCAAGTTGTAAAATGTCAGAATCTAAAGACGAAAGAAACGGTGGCCGTTAAGGTTGTTAAGAACAAGCCCGCCTATTTTAATCAGAGCATGATGGAGGTGACGATACTGGAACTGGTAAAAAAAATCAATAATAAATCCTTGGTCTGTTATTTGCAAGACGCAAGACGTCTATAATCAAAATTAATTGGTTTTTCGTGATCAGCTAAACAACACGTGGGACAGTCAAGATCAACATCACATTTTAAGACTTTTAGACACATTTATTCATCGTCGGCATCTTTGCCTGGTGTTTGAGCTTTTGTCTGTTAACTTGTATGAATTGATTAAACAAAATCAATTTCGCGGTCTTAGCACTAATCTTGTTAGAGTTTTCACCGCTCAGTTGTTGGACGCACTGACAGTCCTGAACGAAGCACGCATAATCCATTGTGATTTGAAACCTGAAAATGTATTGTTGAAAAAGTGTGTGAAATCTTCGTGGGTTAAATCATATTGGATAATTATATTGTTTCTGATTTTTTCCTTATCCACTTTTAAATATCGTCAATTAATTTACCTTCCGTCTGTTCAATTACTAGTCTGGAATCCCCTACGATTAAAGTCATCGATTTTGGATCGGCGTGTCACGAACGCCAGACAGTCTATACATACATACAATCACGATTCTACCGCAGTCCCGAAGTACTATTAGGATTACCGTACGTAAATCTAGAGATTATAACAAATCTGTCTAACCATTCACCCTCTTATCTATGACTATTTGCGTCGTGTGTGTTTTATTACCGTTATAATTATATTGGTTCCTTGAATTATTTAGATTAATGTAACAAATTCATTCTAGGTATTCATCCTCTATAGATATGTGGTCGTTAGGGTGCATAGCTGCGGAATTGTTCCTCGGATTACCATTGTTCCCAGGGAGTTCAGAATATAATCAGGTTTCCAGAATCGTAGAAATGCTCGGAGTTCCTCCACCCTACATGATCGAAGTTGGCAAAACGGATCACGAATACTTTGACCGTTATATCAATGAACATGGTCAAAAAAAATATCGCCTGAAAACAATGGAACAGTATATGAAGGATAATAATTGTGTGGAACAGCCTTCCAAAAGGTATTTCTCCGCCACCACGCTTCCGGAGATTATCAGGTCGTACCCGATTATGAGAAAAGGTGTGACTCAAAAAGATGTCGAGAAAGGTAATCTGAATTGGTTTCATTTATCCGATTGATTTTTTCTCCTACCTCATCCAAAAAATATTTATTGACCAACCAATTGTATGTACTTCAGAAATGCAAAACCGATTGGCTTTCATCGACTTTGTGCAAGGATTATTGAATCTCAACCCAATCGAGCGGTGGTCGCCACAACAAGCGAAACTGCATCCGTTTATAACGGGCGAAAAGTTTACTGGAAAATTTGTTCCTCCGATGCAACTTAAATCTCCCAGTAAAGTTAGCGCATCGTCTGCTCAGGCTCTCAATGCATCACAACCATCCTCCTCACATCTTCCCTCAATGACCTCGCCTTCACAATATAAAGCTAAAACAAACACTTCCCCAAATACTCTGCACAAGAGTTCCGTAACATCCCATGAGGTACCTTCTGTGACTGTGGCACCTCATGTCACTAGTACCAAGGGATCCACTACCTCTCAAAGACAACAAGCGTCCGGTAAATTGTCCACTTTGGCACCAAAATCAAGTGTTGGCTCTTTAAGACCTCGAGCCAGTACGATTGGGAATATTCAGGTCCCGCCGCAAATTCAGAGAGCGGCGGCACTCGTATCACCGGGTAATGTCGTCGGTGGGTCGCCGGGAGAACATTCTAGACTCCCTAGGGAGAAAGACTTCAGAAGACTACCGCAACCCTATCCGCATTTAAATTTGTTGAAAGGACACGATCAGACTCATGATGTTCCTCAATTCTCGGTCGTGGTCGAGGGGGAAGATAGACGTGCGCTCGGGCCATCTTTAAACCTCAATGCGCCCACGACTGAGGTGGTGGGCATTCGAATAGGAGAGGATTGGATCGATGAAGAAGGGAGGCATCAAAAAGAAAAAGGATCACCTAAGGACGAGGGGCAACAGAATGTGATGTCTGATGACATAGGTTTGTCCACTAACGAATCTAATGATCGTGGAGCCATAAATAATAATAATGGTAACGAAAAAAGATTAAAGGTGATGCCTGGAAGCATGCCCAACGGTGATTCCACAAGTCCCGTCATATCCAGTGGATTAGACGATGACACGATAGTAGATCCTTTGGGAACCACCCTACACTTAACGCAGCAGTATCATAAAAAATCGCAAACCGAGCAGCAAGGCGTGATCGGTCAAAACAGTCATAACAACAATAACTCTTGGCAACCATCGTCAACATCCAAATCGCAAAGATCAATTTTACCGCAACATCACTACCAACAATCCGGACTTCGACATCCGTCACCATTGTCGGCGGTTTCTGTCAATGTGGCGTCCCCCTTAGTGAACCAAACACCAACCCGTGTTCCAAATTACCACCCCTCATCATCATACTCATCCTCATTCCGAACGCCAAACACATCCCCCTATACTAGCCAGACCCATCAGCATGTCTTACCGCCACCTGTAACTCAACAAAATATTCAACAGGCATCATCAGCAACTACATCTGGCTCTTATTATCAAAACCTTGTACCACCAAACTATGAGCAATACCATCACAACATGCGAACACATAGACGGCCTTCTAATCACCGAATCTCGCCTTCCACTTCTCCATATCCATCGAGTTCGCCGTCTAATTATGATCTTCCACCTTCACCAACTCCTAACCATCATTTACCACCACAATCATCTTACTATCGGCAACAGTCCGTTACGAACAATCACCGTTCTTCCCCTTCAAAGACGGGCCCACATGAAATGTTGCAACAACAATCCACCCTTCCGTCCATTACAAATTCGACAGTAAATAGTGATTCGCTTCCTTCTCACCTTAACAATAATCATGATGCTAAATATAACAATCAGAGAGAAATAAATACCATGCCTTATCAGATGGCATGATTAGTAAAAATATAAAATAATTACATCAAAGAATCTATTATCAGCAAGAAATTCTGATATTGCCTGTACCTCATTGCATTTTTTTTTTTTTTTTTTTTTTTATTCTAATCATTGTTTGAAATTGAATTTTTGCCGGAATAGCATTACTAGAACCTGGATGATTTAAACTTTAGATTCTTAACGCGATAGATGTTTCATTATAAAAAAAAAAAAACTGCGATGACAAGTAATACCTTTTTTTTGAAATTACGTACATCGTTCGTTGACGGATACTGTTTTAAACTGAAAGGAATCGTGGTAATTTCGACTTCGGATTTTTGACATGGATCTTTTTTTTGCGGTTACAATTATTATTATTATTACTATTTACTATTATTATTATTAACAAATGTACGATAGGTACGATTTCAAAAAACGTACTTTACTCTTTTTTTTTTTTTTTTTTTTTTTTTTATGAACAATCTACAAATTTACAAATGAATGAACACCAAGTGTCCGAAAGTTCTTGGATTGTTTAATATAAAACTTTTTTTTGTGAATCAAATTCGTTGCATGCGTAATATAAAGTTACTTTTCACACTCGGAAAACGCGCAATAATTTTTATACAAGATGAAAAATTTTTTTTATTCTACTAATGCAGCTGTAAATAAATACATGGAATTATAACCACAACAAAAAAGTCGAATGACTTTAGGGAAGGGGAGGCTCGCATTCCTCGCACCGTGTACACGAGATCCAGAATTTATTAAAAAGTCTAGGCGGTCCTTAACACACCGGCATTGATTAGCTTCTGAATATTGGCCGCGACTTGAGGATTCTTGAGGTGACTATCGAAGAATAAATTTAAAGATTTATCTTAAATTCAAAAAATCATCAATAAATACAAAGTATTCAAACATACTCTCTGAGGGCCCGCGGGTCTTCCTGACTTTGTTGCAAAATTTGTTGCATTACTGGATCTTGTAGAATTTTCTGTTTAAAACATAACCGTATTAAAAAAAGTCATCAATAACTCTTTATTAAAACTTCAATGACTTTTTTTTTTGAGATCTCACTTACCAAAATCTCGGGGTCCTTACGAATTGCATCTTCAAGGCTTTCTTGTGAATCATTTCGATGCATTTCCATACGGCACCTCATCATCTGATCATTAATTTCTGTGGTATGCTTGCCATCCGTGTCATGTTTCAACGCCGCCTCACATGTTTCTAAACACTTTGTGTACTCCTTCTTCAAAAATTCCACTGCCGCTTTGCGGATATAGGCTTTGACTGCAATCAAAATTCAGATATCTCGTGAGAGTTAATCAACGATACTTCAACCTTTGGTATTAAAAAAAAAAATTACCGAAAGTAGGATCGAGACGAATGCAAGTTTCACAATCTTTCAACGCATCATTGAAGGCCATCAACTTTGTATAGCAAGCAGCGCGATTACTGTAAGCTCTCGGATCATTTTCATTACGTTTGATCGCTTCAGTGTATTGCTGAACTGCACCAGAAAAGTCACTTTTCTTGAAAAGTTCGTTTCCTTTTTCGCGCGATTGATCAGATAGTTCGGGATTTTGATACGCCTCTTTTTCCAACTTTGCTTTTAACTTTCGAGTCTCGTTCAGCTTTCCGAGTATGTCGGGAGTGCGATGTTCCGTCAATGATTTGTTGTAAAATTTAATAGCTTCGTCGAGGTTTCCAAGTTTAAAATAAGCATTTCCAATTCTTCCAAGAGCTCTTTAGTAAAAATAAAAGAATAATTGTTATTGATGAGCACGTGATTAAAGAAGCAATTGGTCATGCGTAACAGAAACATTAAAAATTTACCTGGCAATTAGCTTGAAGTCGGCGCGATTTTCACGGCCAATGTCAATGGCCTCTTCGCATATTTTGACGCACTCCTCATATTTCTCTTGCTCAAACAACACAGCTAAAATCCGTAGACCTTAGTTAGTTTGATGTACTACGAAACGTCTGTCAACTTAAAACTTTTTTTTTTTTGTTTTTCTTACCAGCCTTATTGGTTAAAATAGTAATGTTTGTGGGATCTAATTCCCAAGCCTTATCGTAATGTTCCAAGGCCTTCTCAAATTCCCGTTTTTTGTATGCAGCATTACCGAGATCTTTTTCTTTTGTCGCGGCTTCTTTCTTAAGTTCCTCTTCGGACTTTTCTATTGGCTCCTCTTCGGGAACATCTCGAGTTTGCGGTTCTGGAGCCGAGGGTTTTGTTGACTCTGCTTTGGTCTCAGCCTAATATTAATACCGTTTCGATCCGCGTTTAAAATGAGATAAATCTTTCAACTCTAATTGATCAAATGACCTGAATGGAAACATTACCTCTGACGTTTCTCCTTCTCTAGACTCAAAATTCACATTACCCGTTAACAAAAATAGGAACACATCTTTTATGCGAGGGTCCTGTATATGTCTAAAATAGTACGAGTTATTTCAAATTCAAATTCAAAAAAAAAATCAATATGATTCATCATCTTACACATTCAGTTGAGACTGGTCAGCCTGTATTGCTTTGATTTTCTCAACAAAATCTGGTTGCTCAAGGTATGGCCTTAAAGTTGGATTTAAGGCAATTCTAACTAATACATCTTCAGGGAACAATTTAGGCGTGGAACCTATCATTGCGAGAATTATTGTAAGAATCAATGATGGTATATCATTAAACTCTAGGTCACATCATTGATTGCAAAAGCAAAAAACGTGTCTCTATGTAATTGTTACAAGAGCACACTGCTCCCAACTTGTAGCCTTTGAGTCGTAATTTTACGCCACTTACTGTCAGCTTCAACCTCCTCTAGTGCCTTTTTTAGCTGAGCATTTTGAGGGTCGTATTTAAGACCCTCTTGGTAGGTCTCACGAGCTTCTTCGCGCTTACCAAGTCCGTGAAGGGCTGCACCCTTCCTACTATATCCCTGAGTGTAACCAAATGGAATAAGTCGCTGAAAAAAAAAACATGGATACACGTCACGCAAAATAATTACCTTCGCCCAGTCCTTTTTCAGTTCAATAGTTTTGTTAGCGTCTTCCAACGCTTTATCGTACTGTTTCAATGATGCATAGGAAGCCGATCTGTTCGAGTAAAGCACGTGGTTTGAAGGGTCTAATTCTATAGCTTTCGTGAATAATTCAATAGCTTTCGCGTATTCTTTCGCGGAGAATGCGGCATTCCCTTGTGATTTAAATTCTACGGCCTAAAATAATATCATTTTGGAAGAACGGTCCCATTTTCTATATAGGTCAATTTTCGACTTCACATTTACGTGACTTTTTATAAGCACTCACACCGGGAAAGGAAGCAGTAGGATAACCGAGTACTTACGCTCATATCTGAAATAAAAACTGCGATTTCTTTTCCGTGACATACAGTATAAAAAAATTTATTTATAAAATGTAGAATTTGGTCACGTGTAATATTCGAGTATTTGCTAGAAAGTTGTTCATCGACCATATACGGTATGTTGCTTATGCTACAAAAGATTATCAATTTATTAATTCACTATATACACTCCCCAGAAAAAAATCACCGGAATTTACTATTAATATTTAATTATTTACAATAATTAATATCGTGTAGGACCTCCTTGAACTTCTTTCATGGCATTAACACGTCGATTTATACTTCTAACAAGATTTACATAAATTGAGCCATCTAAATTGAATCATTCTTTTTGTAATAAATCAAATAATTCTGACTCATTTTTTGGTAATAGAATGTGACTATGTATATGACATTTTAACTCATCCCATAAATGCTCTATGGGATTAAAATCAGGACTTGTTGAAGGTCAAGAAAGCTTATTGATCTCATTTTCTCTAAACCATCTTATAGTTAATTTTGCTGTATGAATTCTTGCATTATCATCTTGAAATATATAATCTTTTTTTCCAACTATATTATTTAAATTTTCTAAGTAAGGTATATAACAATCTTGTAAAATATTAACATAATCTTTTACAGTCATATTGTCAAAAACTCATACCAAAGGACTTAAACCATAATAACAAAAACACTTCTACATTATTATGCCCATTCTATCTGATCTAAAAGTTGAAATTAAACATTCAACATTGAATTTTCTTTGGATTTTCTCTATATATAACTATGATTATCTCCTTTATATACTTCAAACCAAGATTCATTATTTCAAATTATAGTTTCCCACTCCTTTTTCTAACCCATTCATTCTTTTATTCATTTTAATCCAATCTTGTATTTTTCTTTGTTTACAAAAGGTTTTCTTTTACCAACATGGTTAAAATAACCTTCTTCATAAAGATAGTGTCATATGGTATGCACACAAATTTTGATGGAGGTTGATTCAACAAATTTATTGATTAAGACATATAACGTTGACTTTCTATCCTGTTTTAAAGGATAAACAAGGTGATGAATATCACATCTGGTTAATTTCGGTGGTTTTTCAAGATGAGGAGGAGATTTCGCTTGATCAGTTTTTTTATATAGTGTAATGATATCATAAATGGTGCTCTGAGGAAGTTCCGGGTTTTTTATAATAGCCGATAGTTTTATACCACACTTCCAAGCTCTGATTATTTGGTTGTGTTGTTGTTTGGTAATTTCCTTTCTTTTTTTCATTATTATAAAAAATTACAATAAAAAAAAAAAATTTTTTTATATATTCGGATAGCAAAGGATCAAGAGAAATGGTGGATCAAAAATTATAAGAATCAGCATAAACTTTTATTTATAAAAAAAAAATATAAACATCAAGTTGTTACAGTCAATCATACCTAATTTTGAAATTCTGGTAATTTTTTTCCAAGGAGTGTACATTATGGAACAAAGCATAACAGCTAAAATAAATGTTTATTAAAGAAATAAAAAAATTTTTTATTACAAATAATCAATAACAATTTTAGAATAATCTTATTTCTTGATATGTAAGAGACTTTCGCTTTTGTCTGATCAAATAATTCAGATATCAGTTCTATAGATCTTCCCTTTACCTATACAGTTTTAAAAAGTAACACTTTCTTTCTTTAAGTATTTGAATTACTTTATGATCATCTAGTTCTTTGGAGGCTATTACTGATCTTACTTAATTGACTTTAATTTTGAGTATCCAATATTGTTCTAATTTGGTATGCTTATGATATGCAAAGAGATGAATTCTAAATCTTTTTTGATAAAAAGCCATACAATATTCAGAATATTGACTATTTCTTTATATTCTTCTATTGCTTTCTTGATTGATTGTTTATTACATTTGTGTTCTATATCCATCAGTATAATATACTTTGATCTATGAAAAATATTTTAAAACTTTCCACTGATCCTCTAATCACACACAAAAAATATGTTCGCAAGAAGTTTTTACACTTTCTTCTTAATAAAGTCTTAACACTTTCCTTAAAACAACTTGAAGTATGACTTCAAAAGTCATTTCTACTCTTCCCCTATTGTTTACAAACCTTTTTACTCAAAAATTTGACCCCTAATAACTAAAAAAAGTCAAGTAATACCTTTAATATCTATGGCAAGAAAATTCTCAAAGGAAGAAAAAACTGGCTGTGAAATACCTGAAGGTCTTTTTAATCTTTAAAGCATGAGACTTATAGAGGTTTTCTACAGTAAAAAGGATTATTTTCTCTCTTTTTGACTGTTTTGATCCTCTTAAAGCTCACATTTTTATGGCTTTTTGGGGAATTTCGCCTACTTCAGTTTGATCCTGAATTTTGGGTAGCACAAATCCTTATCAAAGGTAATTGTTTGATATAAAATACATTAGTTTTTGAAATGTAAACAAGCTCCTATTGATTATACTCATATGTCTCAATACATCATTGATAATATAGAAAAGAAAGTTCTAGAAAAAGTGTCCTCTCCAATCATATATGTTCAACCTTTAGAAAACAATTATGATATTAAAAGATAAGCGACGGATAGGAAAAAAAGATTCAACTTCCATCTTTTATTAAGTTTCTCAGATAGTAAAAAGACTTTCTTGGACAAAAGCTAAAGTTTTCAAGCTTCTATTCTAATTAGGCAAAGTTTTTGAAAAGATTTCTTTATTCCAGTCAGGTAAACTCTTCCGTAATATGGTACTGGCTTCAGTAGCATTAAGTAAATCTGTACATTAGCAGAAGGATAAGTTCCTCAAATATTTTTCTTGAAGTCACTTTCAGGAATGATTAAGTTCTTTAAATATCATAAAACTTAGAGAATATTCCAATTAAACAAATCCCTTTCAAGAGAAAACTGTGAAATAGAACAAAAACCTTTTGAAGAGCTTTGAATTGTATTCCTCTTTCCCTTTCTTCCCAATGTCAACTTTAACAATTCATTATTTTTTGGAATAATCAATAGTAATAAACTGTTAGCAATGACTCTGGTTAACTTAGAAGCTAATGCCAAGTTACTAGAAAAGCATAATATTGTTCCCAAAATTTGACTTAAAATATTTAGTTTAAACTTGGTTTTGTTTAATTCAAACTAGCTTAGTGGACTCCTCATATTTTTTAAGTAATATATTCCTTTAACTAATAATATATAATGACAAGTTAATCACTTTGTGAAAATCTGTAAACATTGTGGAATCTTTCAATATTTCAATAAAGATATACCATTGCAACATAATTGTGGGTTAAAAAAAAAAATATATATAAACAAAAAAAAAAAAGTAATATACTTTGATCTATTTTTTGCTAAAAGAAAGCTTTCTAGCTTGAAGTATCTTTTGTTTAGAGTATATTTTTGAAAGACTAGGCATGCACTTCTATCTTTATTTATTCTTTTGATAGAAAAGTTTCCTCTTCTTTTTTATTAATTGATTCTAAATATCATGCTGCATCCTCCTTTTTATCAATATCAAAAATGATCCAGTGGTTGCCATTGATAAACTTAGTCTTGAAGAGATTTTGTTTCTTGGGAATACTTAGAGTTTCTTTGAGATATTGATTCATTCTTCTTTGTTGTTTCCTGATAGTATAACTTGAAGCACTTCTAATTTAATTTTACCTGTTTGTTTGATAAAGTAGGGATTGACAATAGAACCATGTATTTTATTATGTATATTGTAAGAAACATTCTCTGTAATACAGGTTCCTTGAACTGTTTCTTTAATTGCTTTTGCTTTTATCAATTCCATTATATTCTGGTCTTCTATTTTAATTTCTTTAATTGATTGGATTTTCTCAGTTTATATAGAAGTTGGTTGAATATCTATTGAAATATTATCTGTTCCCTTGAATTCTTTTATATCATGACTTGCAATATAATTTTTTGTCTTGCTTGTTAAGATGTTATACATCTTTTTTTCAAATATAGAAGCTTTGAGATTTTGTTTTTTTGCCTTGTTCCTTTTCCCACAAAATGATAATATATCTTCTTAATATCTGTTCTTTTGCCAAGGTTTCAGGATTTATATTTAATAGAGTGGCTAAGATATTGTCTAATATTAAGAACACGTGAATTGCTCCTATTGAAATATGTGATTAGTCTCTTGTTTTGTGTCCTAACTTATGTTATAGCATTTTTGTTTTTCATAATTCTTGTTGAAAATCATAGCTAGTAGTGATATTTTTTAATATTCTAAAGATTTTTTTCTTACGTCTTTTCAAAATTCTAATAATATTTTGTTCTTTTTGAATTATATTGTTACATGAGATGAATAAACTATTATGTATATTAGATTATTTTTATGTTTTATTGTTTTTCTTTATATTGATCTGTAAATAGGATACTATATTGGATTATGTAATTGAATAATATATACCAATTTTTTTTTTTTTTTTTTTTTTAACTCTAGCTCATTCATACGTCATGGCACCATTTTATTATAATAAAGATCATATTTAAGAACAACCGGGATGAATAATTACCCGTATTGTCTAAGGATTTACAGATCAACGAATAGTACAAAGAGCTAACTATTTACGTCTCACCCAACCAGGATGAGGCAACTACATGACCGTCTAGTCTAAATATTTCTCTTTACTATGATAAACTAACTAGACATCCAAGACTTGACTATCTAGACCTATTACACCACGACACTCTCTAGGTCCTGAAACCACTGAGCGGCTCATCGCTATCCACCAAAAAAGGGGAGCTAATGTGCCAAGGATTCACCTAAGGTACACAGTACCACCGATGTTGGAATCCCTTATATAAAGCCTTAACTCCACTAATGCTAAAAGAAAATTTTAAAAGAAGGGAGGGATGTATATAAATCTTGTCCAATGGACATTGGTAATGGTGTTGTAATTGTTGGTTTACAGTGAAGAGATAGGTATATCAAAACCCTCTGAAAAGATAATACCCAGGTTGTCAGTTTTCATTAGTTGAATAGGAAATGAGGGAGT